CTGCCAGAGACACAGTGTGGCTTTCAGCCAGAATAAAGTACGCGTAGTCCTATACATACAATCAATCACTCAATGACCTTTCAAAGATATCACAAACCCCTCAAAAGCTACTTACAATCTGTTTTTGAAATTATGATGGTTACGTGATTGCATTTTGGGCGCTTGGCAACTGGCTGACTCTTATGGGTTTTTGCAGCATCCCATAATCACATTAATACAATTTGCAACATTTTTGCCAGTTTCTGCTGCTTAATTCTGGCTCCCAGCAAAAAAACACCCATTGGGGGAACTTGATTTGCTTAATGGCTGCAGTGTTCTCTTAATGATTGGTAGTCCTTAAGTCAAGGACTATCAATACAGTAGGTATTGTATTTGTCCTGAGGCAAATCCAGGAGAAGTAAATTGAGCAGAACAAACCTCTTTATTCTGTTTTTATTTACCTAGATAAGGCATTTGACAATGTAAACAGGTAAGCTGTCTGGATCATTTTGAGACATTATGGGTGATTGAGGAAATTCATGAAGTTGATTCAGCTAGTTCACCATGGAATGACAGGACAGGTTATTTACAATTATGACCGTGGTCCAGATCTGATATTGTAATCGATACATAGCATTGGACTTTGTGAATAGTGCATATAGTTACATATCTATATAACCGCAAACTGTCAAACTTGATTCTTAACAACTTATTATGGCAATCTACAAGAAAATCTTAACAGAATGAAGATATATCTATAGCATTCCTCTAATCTAAAAAGCTAGAAGTCTGTTTTAAAAATTATATAAATTTAATTTGGGATGTCTTGTTATATGAACATTTGTACCATTTTTATATTTTCAAAGGAAAATATAAATAAGGATAGATTATTTGAAGACCCGCTTCTTTCCAATCACATCTATCTATCCCATCTAGTCTGGCAGGAAGAAGGATATGTGGTTCCCATCCATGAAAGAATGCATCTGACCGGATTCAGGTAAAGAGTCTTTTTTGCCATGGCACCCACCTTTGGGAACATCATAATTCCTGAGCTCAGATTGGCAACCTTGCTGACCTTCTGGAAGGGTGTGAAAACATGAATTTGGCATCTAGCCTAGGGATCTAGTTGTGGTGGTATGGAGTTCACTGAATGCCTGTTTTGTTGATTGTTCTCTCCCACAGATTACGTTTTTATTGCTTATTAGTTTTTAAAAAATGTTTTAATGTTTTTAAATTATTCTTATGATTATTTTTTGATTATTTTGTTGTATTATGTTTTTATGCCATTCAGAGACACATATAGACTTAGAATAACTTTATTGTCACTTTAAATGTACACTAATCGGCATACATTAAAATGAAATTTCATTGCATACAGCTCTCAAAGAGTCTCCACTTCTAATATACACTACATAAACATGACTAAAAAATAAATAAATAAATAAATAAATAAATAAATAAATAAATAAATAAATAAATAAGCATATACCCACATATATTATGACTCGGTGAAACAACACAGTCTAGCTCAGATGTATACATGTACATGGCAAGGGAAACAAATCTTGCGAGGTTACCAAACAAATGGCATAAGGAGCAAAGCTGTTACCGAATTGGGTAGTAATGCTAGAAATACATATATAAGATGGGCAACTATATAAATTTCCCAAATAAAAAGCTGACAGGCTGACTGCTTAATTTTATGTTCTAGAACCTGTAAATTATCAAATTCAAGTTGACTATGTAATTATTAGATGCCTTCATTTTATTTTGCTCCTTTAGTTTCCATTCATCACAGCTCTCTATGCCACTTTCTTCAAGGAACTCGGGATCTGTAACGCTTTCCGATGAATAGTACAAATGGAACCAAATTTTACAAAACGATTTTAAAAAACATGGTTTACACTTTCATAACATTGTACGAACGAAACAGTGAATATGAGGGGTAGCATTTAATCTCCTGAATTTATCCTTCAAATTGTCTCTGATTTTTTATACCTTTTTCCCTGATAAAACAGTAACATTCCACTAAAGCAAGTAAACAGTAATTGGAACTTTCTCAGAGAGTGCTAGGCAGAACGGAAGAGATCCCAGAGAGAGAAATATGAGGAGAGAGTGCACAAAGGAAAGGGGGAGGGGAGGAAAATGAATCCATCAACGTTTATTAAAAGAAAAGTAACTTGGACAGCATAGTAAACTATATTTCTGTAAATGAGCACAAATTACTATTGATGTTTTCTGAGCAGAGACAACTTACAATAATTTTTCATCCAATATTATTGGTAAATAAACTTTTTAATTTTTTTAATCAATTGGCTCTCTAAGCAAACGAGAGAGAATACAGTAATCCACTCCCACATAAGATGCTACACTATCAGAATAAGAGAGAAGGTAACATCAATATACGAACTTGTAAAGGTTGTCTAAACCTAACAAAAATTTTATCGTATTTATTTCAAAACAAATTTAAAATAAATTATTTCATTTCTGATCATATAAATCCAGTTGTGCCATTACCTCTAGCAGGGTTTCTTAGGTATAAAGAAATTTCCTCCTTTGCACCTAACAACACAGGAACACTTTGGAACACTTTCAATTCAAAAGGAAATGGTGCCCTGGAGCAGGGGTCTCCAACCTTGGCAACTTTACGACTTGTGGACTTCAACTCCCAGAATTCCTCAGCCAGCTGGGAGTTGAAGTCCACAAGTTGTAAATTTGTCAAGGTTGGAGACCCCTGACCTGGAACACATACCACCTGGAATTGCTGTTCAAGTCAAATTTATGTTTCCCTGAGATTGTTTTGCAATTGCAGAGAGTAGGAAATGAAGCAATTGTTTGAAAGAGGTGCTAGGTAAGTACCTTTGCATACTCCAAACACTTCCTTTGAATCCAAAACATTGTGCAGCCTGCTCAAATTTGCCCTTGCAGGGTCTTTATTTAATCTTCTCCCTAGCCCATAAGTGAGAGAGATTTACAGTAAACTAGCTCTACTAGGATAAAATTGTTTGTTTGTTTATATATAGATATCCCACTTTTATTATTTTTTTTACAAATAATTCAAGGCAGCGGACATTTCCACTCACTTTCCTTTTCCTATTTTCCTCACAACAGTCCTGTAAGGAGAGTTGAGTTGAGAGAGAGGGATTGGCCCAAGATCACCCAACTGGTTTTATGGCTAAAGCAGGATTAGGACTCATTGTCTCTGACTGGTGCCTTAACCACTAGAACAAACTGGCTCTCAAAAAACAGATGTATATATCAATATGTAGTAACTCTCTCAGTTATTATATAGTAGCAACTGTGAGAAGGATCTAGGTGTCTTAATGGACCACCACTTAAAGTATGAGCCACTAATGTGCTGCAGCTGCCCCCAAAGCCAATGCAGTCCTTGATTGCATTGACAGAAGGCTAGCATAAAAACGAGAAATTATAGTTCTGCTTTATACTGTGCTAGTGAGGCCACACTTGGAATACTATATCCAGTTCTGGTCTCCATGATACAAAGAAGCTGTGACCCTAAAAGGAGTGCCAAGAAAAGCAACAAAGATAATAAGAGGTCTGAAGACTAAATCGATTCTCACCTAGTTGTGCATTCATCTTACCATCAAACATGAAACAGGAACATATGTTTATTGAATTAATATATTCAAATCAGTAGTTGAAATAGTTATAGAAATTGTATAATTCCATATTCTTTTGTAATGTGAATTGAATGTGGAAATATTGGTTTTAATAGGTCAAGCCTAAAGGTTACACACAGAAGTCCAAACTCTGTTGGCTGTAACTTGGCAAGGGAGCACAAAGACAGAGTTATTTATTTTTCTTTTCACTTCCTGGTTATTAATTTCCTTTGTGATGTATTAGAAATAAATTATGTAGACCTGATCTACATTAAACCAGTTTCCTAGACTAAGATCAAGGAAATGGATTGTGAAACTTTTACATACTGATTTCCTCCCCCAGCTCCCCCTCCCCCCGCCCCCCCCCTCCCCCCCCCCCCCCCCCCCCCCGGGAAAAAAAATCTTTTGTGAAGAAAAGTGCCAAGACCTCAAAAAAGTGCCACACTAGATACTGGCAAAGGAAGTAAAACTCAATGTCATATTTATTTCTCTGAAATTGGACTTTGTCTCCCTCTCAGAGGGGTACTTGACCTTATGCTGGAGAAATATGATATGAACCTATCACTTGTGAATTTTTTTGTTTATAATTTTCTCTGAGGTTCAGTTTGAAGTGAATGAGGGGGGGCATTTTGGGGGGCAACTGTTAAACCCTTGTAACAATAATTAACAATTAAAAGAAACTAATTTTCATGATATAATTACCTTAGCACCATATATTAATGCAATTTACTGTATTTTCAGACAAAATTATGTGCCACTACCCAAGTCCAAACTGCTGCTTTTATATTGGCAGTAACGTGGCCCTCTATATACAAGATTCATTTGTTTTGTACACACATTTCTGGTGCCTACTGTGATAAAACCTTTGTTTTGCACATGGACATTCTGATTTTCTGAATACTGGAAAAATCTCACCTAGCTAGGATTAATCTCATTTTTAAGTTATGGGAGGAGTTGTGCAGTCAGTGTGCTTTCACACATGTTTATGTGGCAGCTTATATTTTTACAATTGTGATTTTTTTTCTGTTGTATGTTTTTTGATTTTCGTGTTAGCACAGCACGTTTCTATTGTGAATACGTTTGAGACAAAAGAAGGCTGTTCCCTTCCCCCCGCAACTGTCTCACACTGAATCTGCATTTGCAGAAGAGCTGCCACCCATCCCCCACATTCTGGTTCTACAGCAGCTGCTCTCACTGAAAACCGATATCTGAGAGGCCCCTTTTCTCCCTAAACCAGTTCTAGCAGGAAAGCTGGAGAGAATAAAAACCCAGACTGGATTTCACGTTGGAGCCCCTGCAGCTTCTTTTACTGAAGGCAGGCTCTCCAGTTCATGTAACAAACTAGTCCACATCTTACGTTTAGCTCTGCTGCTAATGGCATTTACTTTGGCTCCAGCCGCATATTTTAACAAGGGGACTGCAGATCTTGGTGTTCTGTGAGTAATCCAGTCCAGAGATTCCAGTCAGCCCTGGTGCGGCAGAACCTCAGCCTAAACAACAGTTGATGTCTCATCCCAGCTCAGAAACCAGTCTCAGCCGGCTCAAACCGGCTTTGGCTGGATGGATTGGCAAACGTGTCTGAGCTCTCTTTTTTTTTCTTCCATGAATTTCGATTGCCCCACCCATACAGAAGCAGCACAGAGAAAAAGCTCATTTCTATTTTTATGTTGGGATTCAGTGCTGCCCTAGAATTATTTCTACTACACCCTGTAGCAGGAAGGGATGCCAAATTATTTTCAGTTCCCCAACCCCAATTATATTTTTGTAACATAGAAAAATTGCCTATTTTTTCCCTCCAAAAATCTATGCAAAAGGAAGGTATGGGTGTGCTTTCCTTTTCATAGTGCCCAACCATTTTGAGAATATGTTCTACTGATGAGAGGAGACTGACCTGTTTGCTGGACCTTTTCTTAAATACAGGCAGTGCTATTGTACCAGGGCTACCTTAGTTGTCTTATTAGGAAGAAATGAAACTTTATATCCCGTATATTACAGACACTCATTGTGGACAATACTACCTTACCTATTTCTCAACTTCCACTTCACCTTGGTAATGAGAGATTTACTAAACGTTTTGGAAAGATTTCCCTATGTACTGTGATGATCATGTTGTCCAGAAAAATCAGATGTTGCCTGTCTTTTACCTGTAAACAGGGAAATACCCTAATAAGGCGGACTACAGCATCTGCTTTTCTCCCTGATGACAGCAAAAGAAGCCTATCCAAGGACACCTCATTCCTAGTTCAGTAAAATAAGCATCTCTTGCTGTAGCTGTAAGTAAAATGAATGTTAATTTCTGACCTTGTTTCAAGATACTATAGAGTTGGGTACATTAGTTAAACAATTTATTATTATTGAGATAACAATCTCGGTTTCATTGAAATGTAGATTTCTTTTATAATAAAGGCCATAGCTGATGCCGAAGGAAGCTAAAATTAAGAGCCATGGGAGATTTCTTCTATTTCATGCCCATAGGAGCAGGCATACCCAGTACTTATATATCAGAGGAATAGAAAGGTGTTAAGATTAACCACTCCAGTCCTAGGCTGCATAACTCTTTAACACTTTGCTCCCATCTGATGGCCACCCAGAGTTTTGCAGCCTAGATCTGGTAGCTGTAAATGATAGGGGAAAATCTGCCTCCCCACCACGAGCTCTTTAACAGTTTTGACAATAATTCTGAAATATTGAGATGGAAAAAACAAATTCAAATTAACAACATTTGTTGTTACTGCAGAGCACATTACTCTTGTTACTACCCAAGCTGCGACTGACATGTCCTCACAAGCTAAAAGGTAGGATAAGAAATTTCTGTATAACTTTATCTCTGCTTCACCATCCTTTCAAACAATTTATGCTCGCAGCACCCCTCTGAGGTAGGAATAGGATATTACATGAGAGTATTTAAGGAATAATTTACAAGCTAGTACTGAAAGAGGAATATTCGCTATAAAATACAGTACTGAGATACAATGCACAATATAATTTACATCATACATTAATCGCATCAGGTAATTAGTTTAAACTTAAATCCTCCTTCTAGAGAGAAAATAATGGGCAAAATATAGAAGCGTTTTAGTATGAACGAGGGTCTATGATCATTCTGTAACGGAGTTCAAATTATTTGGATATGCTTAGAATTATAGATACAAATATGACAGTTTTTCCATTTGACGGTATGAAGAAACAATCAAATTTATCTACATGAAATGAATATCAGAAATCCAGGAGATTAAAAAACCACTATTGGATGTATTACTATCTGGAAAGGATAGAAAATTGGCATTAATTGTTGGGAAGTTAAAAAATTTGGAAAATTAATTTTTCCTAGTACTAAGGGGTGAGGGAAGAGAAATATAAATCTAGGAAACCCAAACAATTGTTTATAGTATATATATTTCATGCGTTTTGAAAAAGCATTCTGTCTTGTTCTTAATTCATATGCCAGTTTCTAGCAAATGTATAGATTTTATCAAAACAAAAATAATATTTCTGTCTTTTAATTAAATTGTAGATGCTGTGTGTAGATGCTGTACATCAATTATTTTTATGGCCTCAGGAAACTTTTTTAAAATACAGTTATAAAGTTTACTTGGCTATCATGTGATACAACACTTTTAAACAAGAAAAAGTCTGGCAAATCCTTAAAAAACTACAAGCTTAATCTAAATCCAAAACAGTACTTGGTTTAATGCAAAAGGAATTTATATCTCTTTGTATCTTGAAACTATGATGCATGGATTCCAGATGGTTTCATTTAAGAGAATAGTTTTCTAGAATAAAATAACTGTTCTTTCCTGTTTCTGATTAATGTTATTTTTAAAAAGTCCCTTCTTACCGTTATGGGTAGAATGTATCTTTCTCAGTCTTGGGTTCTCTACAAATGGCCTGGGAGCTTGAGGGTTCTACACTGTATCTTAACTATTCGTGTACTTCAAGAGCTCTGAAGTAGTTCCTGAGATCTATTGGAGCCACTCTCCCATCTTAGGACTCATAGACTCAAGTGCTCCTACCACTACTGGTATCAGGATCACTACTGGGTATATATCTACAACACACACACACACACACACACACACACACACACACACACACACCAAGTGTGTGTTTCTGTGTGTGTGTATTACTGTGTGAACATTCTGGAATGATTTCTGGAAAATTTAATGAACTAGTTAATGGAATAACCCAACTCTATATTTCCACTCTTGGTGACTCAAGTGATGCTGTGGCCATCCTCTTGCGGTGCCTGGAGGCTGTGGGGGCCTGGATGGGGGATAACAGGCTTCAAGTGAACTCTGGGAAGACCGAATGGCTTTGGGTACATGGGGCTCCGGGATCTGGAACTTTGTTATTTTTGACCCTGGATAGGGTAACACTGCCCAGATAGATCTGGTCTGCAACTTGGGGATTCTCCTGGACCCACACAGGTGGCAGTCACAGTTAGGAGAGGAGCAGGTGGCACTCAAGGCTAGGAGAGCCTTTGCACAACTTCATGTTGCATGTCAGTTGTGGCTTTGCCTGGATCGGGATTCCCTGTAGTTAGTCATTCAGTCCCTAGTTATCTCATGGTTGGACTATTGTAATGCACTTTACATGTGGCTACCCTTGAAGAACATTCAAACACTACAGCTGATGCAAAGTGTGACTGTGGGCAGTTTTGGGGGCCCTAAGAATGGTCCCTGTAACACAACTTCACCAGGAGTTGCAATTGTTGCTAGTTTGCTTCCAGGTGCAATTCAAGATGGTGGTAATCACCTTTAATGCTCTTCATGACATGGATCCAGGCAGGGGTGAAATCTAAAATTTGTTACTACCGTTTCTGTGGGCTTGGCTTGGTGGTGGTGGGGTAATGTGATGGTGGGTGTGGCCAATTTTTTTTTTTACTTTTAAAACCATTTTTTCTACAACCTCTTCGGCTAAGAGGTTGTAAAAAAATGCTTTCAAAAGGCTCTGATGTTCCCTGATCAGCAGAGGCTTTTTTAAAAAGCCTCTGCTGATCAGGGAACTCAGCTTGGATCGTCAGAGCATTTAAAAGAACCCCCCCTTTTTTTCTTTTAAATGCTCTGACGATCAACTCAGCTGGGATGGTCAGAGCATTTAAAAGAAAAAAAACCCTTTTCTTCTTTTAAATGCTGTGACGATCCAAGCTGAGTTCCCTGAAAGCCTCTGTCGATCAGGGAACTCAGCTGGGATCGTCAGAGCATTTAAAAGAAAAAAAGGGATTTTTTCTTTTAAATGCCTTTGACGAACCGCGCGATCATCAGAGGCTTTTTTAAAAAACTTTTAAAAGTATTTTTTTGGCCGAAGTTGTAGAAAAAATGCTTTTAAAAGTAAAAAAAAAAAGTCTCTGATGATTGTGCGGCTCAGCTGGGCATGGGAGGGGGGCGGGGATTTTTGCTACCGGTTCTCCGAACCACCCGCCTCCATCGCTACCGGATCGGGCAATCCGGTCCGAATCGGGAGCATTTCACCCCTGGATCCAGGTTACTTGCGGGACTGTCTCACCCAGGGTGTTACTCACTTACCTTTGCTACTGGTTCGCAAATGTGAGCATACCTCCGTGCATGCGCAGGACCTTCAGAGCATCAAAAATGGGACGTGATTACTTTTGGGCGGGTGGGCAGAACCTTCTGCCGCTTTTGCTACCGGTTCGCCTGAACCGGATAGAACTGGCTGAATACCACCACTGGTCTCATCCCACTGGGATTGACCCATCCCACTAATTCTGGCAGAGGAGACATGTTGCCAGTCCCTTCAGCCCAATTATTCCGGCTGGTGGGGTCCAGGAGGAAGGCCTTCTCTGCTTTGTTCCTTTCCTTTGGAACATCTTGTTCTCCGATGTGAGATTGCCCCCAACCATCCTATTCTTTTGTAAGGAAAAGAACTGGCTCTGCCAGTTGGCCTGAGCCCCAATTGTGAAACAGCACAGTGGAGGTTGTGTCAATAAATCTCACCTACCCCCCACATTCCACCCACCCTCCACATGTGTCCTTAGATTTTAATCTTTGGTTTATAATATATGTTTTAATGCAGATATATTTTTATGACTCTAAGCCACCTAGAGTTTCCTTTGGTAATATGGGCAGCCAATAAATTTTATAAATAAATAAAAGATATTAACCCTTTATGCAAATAATTTGCCTTTCAATTTTTATTCTTCTCCCATTTTATTTATTTTTGTGTTTATTTATTACATTTTATATGGCTTATATTTTGGGGTTTATAATTTAATATTTTCTTTTTTTTATTGAAAAAGTTTTTCAAATACAGATTTTTCCCCCTTTCCCCCCCTCCTCCCTAACCCCCCTCCCCCTCCCCTCCCCCTATGGCTTCTCCAAGATAAAACCCAAATTAATAACAGATTATATAATACTTTACCATCCTTTTTACTCCACCCCCCATATGCTGACCCTTTCTTTCTAACAATATTATTATATCCCCCTTATACTATACATTTCAAAGCAACATTCAGCTGTAAAATTATATAATAAATCCTAATTTAGCAATTTCTACTCATAATCTATCCATTTCCTCCTCCCCCATGCATATATCTCTTAATTCAAATCTTTTACATATATTAATATAACATAACATCCCTTTTCCTAAACTAGACAATCAATAAGCTAACCTATCTCCACCCACTTTCCTACAGGTCTACCATACATAATATTTTTAATATCTTTATTCTTCTGCCCACACCACTAAAAAAAAATTTTTTCCATATATAAATAAAATGCTCAAATGACTTTAAACTTGTAATCCATATGATAACTTCTGTAATGTCTTTCAACTGGATTGTTAATTCCATCACCCATGTTAGGGTAACATCAAATTCTAATTCCAACAGTATGTTCGGTATCTTCAATTACCATCTGCCCCCATCAATAATAAATGTTTTCATATATCAAAAAACCACCCGAGTGACTTTATATTTATATTCCATATAGTGTCTTTTGTAATGTCTTTCATCTAGATTATTCATTCCAACCACCGTGTTAGGGTAACAACCAGATCTTCTGCATGCCCCAATCCCTTAGTTCTCTTGCCTTGTAGCTCAGCATAAATGTAATCCATTTGTCAAAGAGTCCAAAATAGAAAGTTCCAGTCCACTCAATTTAAGGCCATCTTCCACATCCCAAAAGTACAGCACTGCAGAGATCTGTCACTCTCCTCAAAATAGTATAAACCAATACTTTGCCTCAGCTATATTTTCATGTATTTAATCGTCTCTTAAGTAACTGGCATTAACTGTTGTTTAGTCTAAAAAATTTTATTTTTGTAAGACCTGCTTCTTCTCTTCTTAACTTTTTGTGGCTTAGATCTCAATCCTGGTTGCCTTTCTATGAGTTGTATATCAACTAATTGATTTCCATGCTGGTCTGTAACTTGATAAGTCATCACATTCGAATCCAAAGCCGCCTCTCTTGTATTTATAGGTAATCCAACTATAACCTCTGAAGGAGAATCCAAAAGCGGCTCATCCAAAAAGGCCTCTGTAACTTGTTGTTTTTCCATTACCTCCACCTCCATCTGCTTAGCCTGGGTTTCAATCTCTTGTTGATTTTGCTTTTCTTTATTCCCCTCATGTGTTATACATGGAGATGTTAAATCCATTTTAAGAATCTTATAATAAAATTCTTCCACTTTTTCAACAATATTTAGTTGATATCTTTCTCCTTGATATCTCAATATTATTCCAACTGGAGCATCCCACCTAAATGGGATTTTTTGTTTCTTTAGCTCAGTCACCAAAAATCCAAAATCCTTTCTATCTTTTAGCATCTTGGGCGGCAGC